TCTACAAATAAGCCCGCCATTTTGAATTTGAAGAAATTATCGGATGTCCACTGTTGAAAATCAYACATTCTCAGTATAGAATAGTACCGACAAATTGCTTTCATTGAATATTTCGGGCTTCAAAATATAAATTAATACTTYAAACCATTCAAATTTGTTACGTTTTTAATTAGTTTTTTGTGTGTGTTTTAAGAAATGAAAATCTCATAGCATTGTACCAGTTGTTCCGTGGTAGCAGGTTTACCCTCCCAGGAGAGGCATTTTTTTATGAATTCTCATAAATCAAGATCGAGGGTTTATATCAGACATTTTTAATACTTGCCTCTACCTAGAAGTCTCCRCCTACCGCTAGGCCCTATAAAAAGGGTTACCCTTCAGCTTACACGAGGCTTTTTTCTATGTAAACAACTTGTTTCGAGCGGGCAACGGATGCAAAACTCGAGAGGTCTGTATGTCTTGAGCATATGAGCATTAGATTAAATCGTTCCTCTCTCCATATCAGTACTTAGTCCTATCACAAGGTATCGTCAATTTTTTCTCATATGAAAGATCTGTAAACTTGGCTCAGGTAGGAGGGAAACCCCTGCTACCAGGGACCACTTTTTCCTGTCTAAGTGTCCCCTGGGCATCACACAGTTTCTAACTGAATCGATACCTAAAAAAACATTTAAGAATTTAAGATGGCGCCCGTATTAGTAAAATGTCTACTGAACTTTATTTCTAGCGGCGCAGATGTTTAAATCATACTGACAAAAAAAACAAAAAACAAAAGGGTAAAAAGGAAACACAAACATCAAAAAATATAACAAACTCTCATATGTACCCTAGTTTATAGGCCTCGATCCCGGGGGGGGGGAGGGGGTACTCGACCCGGTTTTGGATAGGTACGTGCCGCTAGCGGTCTAAAACCCTTACCCTGTTTAAGACACTAGAAAGTGAAAATCCATACCCTGTTCAAGACAAATCGGAAAAAATAAGGAATCGCTATTTGCACCGCAAYCATGCAAACTGCAATTATACTGACATCCATCAAAGACAATATGAGACGTTTTTGATAACACGGGGGCCTCGATAAGCTTCTAATATGTTCTTCCATAAACGTCTCAGTAGAATAAAACGTTAGTCGATAATACGTAAACATTATTAATACAGTGAGCCGCAAAATGAATTAACATAAAACTCACAAATTTGCATAGAATGATCGTCTTCAAATTAGTATGAACAATTTCGCCAACATTCAATTCCATTACAACTGGCAAATTGTCTTCTGATCTAAATGCGTTTTGACTAAAAACCTTCACCAAGGACTGCGGATCAGGAATTATGCACTTCTTTTTTATTTGCTCCATACAAAATGTGAAAAACTAAGCTCTATTATCCTGCTCGTGATGCAATAAAATGTTAAATTAGTTTGACTTCTATACTAAGACCTTTTGGCAGTGCCACAACAGTCTTCTTTATAAATTTATAAAGTAAATATATTTACTTCGCATTCCGCTGAAAGTCATTTTACTGTTGCATTTGCCTTATAGCATATCTATAAACCCTGTTTGATAACTTTGATGTCATTTTTAGCAGTCTATTTGTTTCTATCTTATACAAATTTGTGATTTGGGCAACTTTATAAAATGATACAGCACTTTTGTCCCTTCTCGGCACCCGGCTGAGATTGATCAAGCAATGGACTATCGGCATCTTCTTTTTTGTCTTCGTTGTCGTCATCACGAATARGACGAGGAGATGGAGGAGCCGAGACTTCCTCAACTGGACTGACTGTTGGTGCTCGCGAAGAACCAGAATGCGCATACTTAGCAAGATGTAGGCTTGAGTCATCTATGTCACTCTCTTCTTCTCCTGCTAGAGGTGGGACACCTTCTCTTTCACCCCTTACAGATTCTACAGAGTTCACCGAAAGAGGTCGAACTGAAGTTTCCGAGTTAAAATTAACTGACTTTAGCTTTGGTGATGACTTACCAGGGGCAGCATTAGGAACCACAAATGGAGTTCCATCCATACGRAAGAGTATAGTAGACATTTGACTTGATTCTACTGGCTCGGGTTTCGTTTCCTTCTCATCTTTCTGTAGCGTTGGTTGTGATCGTTTTTCTTGTTTTTSTGCAGTGTAAGGTTTTGGTTGTTCTTGTGCTACTGGTGGAATGACTACAGGTGTTCCATCCATTCTAAATAGAATAGTTGACATAGAAGCCGCTTCCTCGCGCTCAGCATGTTGTGACTCTTYTTGATGCACTGAATTTGTTTCYCCTGAAGACGTTGCTGGACCGTCTTCTATTACAGCAATACACGGTTCACTTTGCAACGCTTCAAGATTGACGTTTTGTAGCTGTTCTTCTGTTTGATCACGATGCACTGGTCCTCTTTGGGAAGATGGTTGTGATTCTTGAGGTAGTTGGCTTGAAATTGCTTGCACTGACTCACGATTGCTATCCTGAGTAGTTTCTTCCTCGTAAACAGCTTTTTCATCCTTTAGCAATTAATAAATCATTTATTACGCAAAGGTAATAAATAATAAATAGTTGATAGATAAATACAACATAAACTGGACGTATACAGTGTCCACCGTTGAGTTAAATGCAGCAGCTGGGTTTAGAATTAGAATTAGGCAAATTGATTTGGGATTAACATGTTTTAACACTATTAACACTAGGTATGGAACTGCATACATACTGCAACTACAGACAATCATTAATAATCACTGACAATCATTAACAATAATTTACAATAATTATGATAAATAAAGTGKCAAATCAAGCAAATATATGGTAAAAGCACATGCTGTATAGCAAAGTCAGCAAAGCAAAAATATTTAGAGCTAACAACACGTTCGCCGATGACATTAAAGTATCCTCAGACTCAACCACCAAACTACATGCTAACTACAGTTTAGATAATCATAGTTGATATAGAATTTAATTGCCAAAGTCAATCATTTTACCTTTACTGTTTCTGGTAGTGCCTCAGCACGTGCTTTAATCACTCGTGCTGTCGTCACAGCTTTAGATGTCTTCACTGTGGTGATAGATGACGGCGTCGTTTCCGTTGACAACGTTTCATGTACAAAAGGCTTTTCAGTCGCACGTACCTCATTCTCAGTAAWAACCGTCTGATTCTCTTGCGTCTCATTTCCTGTTGTAACTATTGCTTTGGCTTCGGATTCTCTCATTTCTAGACTTTGTCTTTTGTTCATTTCTTCCCACTTTTCTAGAAGTGACCAACGAAGTGAAGCATGTTTTTCTTTTTCTTTAGCTTCAAAATATTCCTCATTCGCTAGAACGACATCTCTTTGAGAAATTTGACTTTGACCCTTTAGAGTATCCTCATCTTCTTCGACAAGGGTATCGTCAAATATACCTGACCTTCTAAGTTCTTCTGTTTCAAAAATCTCTGTAATTCCTTCTTCTGTAACCTTTTTTGCCTCGACGGGAGAAGGAGGTTTTTCTTCATCCTCATCCTTTTCTTTGTCGTCAACCAAAAAAATGTTAAATTCAGACTCTTCTTTTTTTCTTTGTTGGTTTGGTAAAATCTCTTCTGTAACAGCGATAGAGCTGTCATCAACAGTGGTCGTATTCTTTTGTATCAGTCTTTGAGTTTCYTCTTCAATATCTTTATTAATATCGTATTCTGGTGCTGGCACMACCTTGGGAGCTTCGTCTGCCTGCATATGTGCTCCCTCCTCCGGTGTAAAGAAGCCACCAATATCAGAGCATACTGTGAGAGCTTTTGTATGGGCAAAGATGACCTCATCACCGATATCTCCTCGAGTTTCAATATCTATATTCTCTACAGATGGCTGACTTTTCTGCTSGACTTTATCTTGCCTTGTATCTTCGATGTCAGTTACAAGTTCAGCTTTTCCTTTGAAAACGATTTCGTCGGTGTCATCCTTAGCCATCCAGTCATCAGCTGTGCCCTCCTCGTCACTTTCTCCCTCTTTAATTAGCTGTTCATTTTCTTGAGAAAGTCTTTCGATAGTAACATCAATTTCACCGTCGCTGTCGCTTCCTTCTTCAAACGTGTCCAAAGCAATTTCTGTAGGAGACTCTACAACATGAGTATCAAGCTCTATAACATCATCATCATACCGATTATCTTTAGTAATGGTGCTGAGGGGTTCCTCTGSCAAACGAACYTTAATGATTGGCTTCTCTTCGGGCTTCTCGCTATTTCCCTCTTGAATTTCCTGAAGAGTTTGGGTGTCCTGTCTGAAATGTTCGGCTACATATTCTTGTTTAGGTGAGCTTGGTTCCTCCTGTCCTTCGATGACCGCAGAACCTGAGGATGAAGTTTTATCCTTAATCTCTTGCGCTGGTTCAATCTCCGATTTCTCTGTTTGAGTATCTGCAARTGCAAGCTTTTCTTCATCCGACTGTTCCTCTTTCGACTCAAATGTCATTGACAATATCTCAGACTCTTGCAATGCTTCGTTGGATTCTAGGTTAGCTAGTGAYGTTTCGGAAATATCGACGTTTTGATCATCAGATTGMAATTCCTTTGACTCAAAATTTATTTTCATCATTTCTGATTTCATCTCTTGCTCAGTCTTTGATACCATTTCTGGGAGAGGTTCTACTTCTGCATTCCCCTCGTTTACTAACGTTTCTTCATCAGACATTGCTTYGATTGGCAAGGACTTCACTTGAGTTGTCTCAACTGTAACAAGCTGCTGTTCATCAAATTGCTCTTCCTTTTCTTCAAATTTTTGTACTGCTTTGTTTTCTTCATCCGACTTTTGTTCCATTTCTACGGATGWCACTTCGACTGAAAGRRTGTCTGCATGATCGCTGACTTCCTCAACGAGCTTTTCTTCGTCGGATTTCGCTACCTGAGTTTCAAATGTCATTGCCATTGTTTCGGCTACTTTGCTTACTTCGTCAGGTCCTGATTGACTTTCAACATGCTCGACTTCAACTACCATTGACTTCTGTTCAGTTTCTTCAGCAGTATCGATGTTTTGTTTATCATAGTTTTTTTCTTCGGTTTCAAACGGCATCGACATCAATTCCACTTTACCATCTTGTATCGATTCACTTTCTTCAGACTTAACTTCTTCGGGCAATGATKTCACTTCAGTTGTTTCCACTCTGACAATAGATTGGTCTTCAGATTTTTCTGCCGGCGTCACCGATGCCAATGACATCGTTTCTGCTTTGCTATCCTCTTCCAACCTTGATTCGCTGTCTTCGGGTTTAATTTCTAATGACCTCACTTCAGTTGTTTCTGCTGTGACAAGAGATTGTTCATCAGTTTTTTCTTCTGGCATCACAAWTGCCATCGTCTCTTGTTTGCTTTCTTCTTCAATCTTTGATTCGCTGTCTTCAGTTCTAACTTCTTCTGGCAACGATTTTACTTCAGTTGACACTGCTGTGGCAATCACTTGTTCATCATATATCTCTTCCGGCGTCTCAAATGTCATTGTCATTGTCTCTGCCTTGCTTTGCTCTTCCACTTTTCTTTCGCCGTCTTTGGTTTTAACTTCTTCTGGAAATGTTTTCACTTCAGTTGACTCTGCTGTGGCAATCACTTGTTCATCATATATTTCTTCCGGCGTCTCAAATGTCATTGTCATTGTCTCTGCTTTGCTTTCCCCTTCCACTTTTCTTTCGCCTTCCTTGGTTTTTATTTCTTCTGGAAATGTTTTCACTTCAGTTGACTCTACTGTGGTAATCACTTCTTCATCATATTTTTCTCCAGGCGTCTCAAACTCCATAACAATTGTCTGAGCTTTGCTTTCTTCATCTACTTTTATACCGCTTTCATCGGATGTACCTTCCTCTGATTTCATTACAGTATTTCCTTCAGATTGTTCTTCTTGAGTATCAACCAATATTGTCATTTTCTCTGCCTTATCCTCTTCACCTGCATTTGACTCGATTTCTTTAGATTTAACTTCCATTGGTAATATAGTTATCTCAGCTGTTTCTAGATCAGMAAACTGCTCTCTATTAAACTGATCTCTGATTGACTCAAACTTTACTTCTCTCGTGTCCGCTTTGCCTTTTTCATCTGCATTTGATTTMAATTCATTGGCAGGAATAGTTRTCTCTGGAGTTGTCTCTACAGAAACAAGTACTTCTTCATCAGCTTCCTCTCGTTTGCGCTCAACCTTTCTTTCGAAGACTTCCTCTTCYTCTTTTACATCRTCATCTGATTGGGGTGGTGAAGCAAAGTCGTTTTCCTCTTTTAATGGCAGTTCCTCTATTCCCCCCAACTCTTCTCCTTCTGGTTTAGCTTYACCTACTTCAATTCTCGATTCAATTACAGGAGTTTCTTGAATGGCTGCTTCAGATGAAACGAGGTGCTCCTCTAAATATTTGTCTTCATTGGTGTCGAAATTCATGGACACAACTTCAGCTTTTTCTTCTTTCTCTTGCATTGCTGCAGATTGTACAGAAATACCTGTGTCAAGCGAAACAGATTCTATATTTCCTGTTTCGTCAATGGATTTTGCTTGCTCAGCTAAGGACCTTTCCTCGGAATAAGTGTCGGTCACCAATTCGTCGTCATTTTCTTTCTCGATTGATTGGCATTGCTCCATCTCACGCACTGAAGTTTCTGAAGGTGGTTCCGTTCTTGTAACKTGATTGGTTTGAGCCCCRGAGAATCGATTCTCTTCTTGRATTTGTCTATTTTGATCATCTTGCTCATTTTCAAGCTTTTCTATTAGCGATTTTACCATTTCARTTGCTTGAGCTGCGATTGCCTGCGTCATATTGACATCGGAACTTTCCGCCTCCTCAGGTTTGTCGTCTTCTCTTACCGATTTTTCAAATTCTGTTGTTTCGTCTGTTGAGCGTGATCTAATAACAAGCCTCGAGGGGTTTGGCACCGGAGGCTCTTCGGTGCTCTCTGAACTTGCAGTACTGTATTCTYCGACAGATGTCCTCGATCGTATCACGTAGGTGTACTTCTTTTCATCTCCAATCTCATTTTCTCCACTGGAGATTCTTTGCTCTTTACGACTTTGCAAAGTAACWGTGGCTTTAACCGGTGACTGTGAAGCTGATTCTGCTYKGAATACATCGTCGTTGTTATTTATCACACTCTCTCTTGTCTGGTCAGYCGGGACAACGTCTGGTGGTGTTTGGTGCTCACCTACACCGTTAACATGCAACTCTTCCATTCTTGGTATAACCTCCTAAAAACAATAGAGCACATTCTGAGACTATAATTGTTGATTCTATAAATTGAATGGTGAAATAGTCCTTCATTTTCATGYTTGCGTCAGAACTTTGAAGGTTTAATCATACAAGATATTATAATGATGACGCACGAAGAATTTTTTCGTCAGACTACAAAAAACTCTCGGGATGCTTTCACAGTCTTCGAACTGAACAATGAAGTAATGTTTAAAGTCCAACAATGAGGGCTAGACGGGGTTTCAAGTCCGCACAATAGTTCCAATTCTCATACTCATTAATTATTCGGGAGGGCAAAAAGCGAAGGAAATACATATAACAGAAATATTTTAATTTATTGCATCTCCACCAAGGTTTTCAGTTTTCATAATATTGAATACATGAAGCACCGTTATTGCTCTTCAATTCCCGAACGGCTTTCTGAAACAAAAGTTTTTCAAATTGTCTTTGTGATCTGCTATTCATGGCATTTCTAATGAGCCTAATCCATAAGATTTATAAGTATGTTATCTTACGAGAAATCGCATCAGAAACTCGGTGGTGTAATGGTATAAGACGGCGYATATAGACTGCACGGTAGGG